AGTCACCTTGGAAAGCCGCTGGAAAGGGAGCTGAACGGCTTCGAAGTGGGCGTGGTTGGAATCGGCCGAGGGGATTGCAGCCGACTGAGCAACCACGCCCACTTCGAAGCCGTTCAGCTCCCTTTCTAGCGGCTTTCCAAGGTGAGTTTTTTGTTCAGTCACACTTCTTATGTTCTTGACTAGGGCTAGCGCATCGTTCCACACCATTAGTGTCGAAGGTAAAAACCCTGCTGGGACTGTTGCTAAAACCCTAAATCCCTTACCGAATGCCCAACTCTCCATCCCTATCAAGCACAGCATCAGCATCAGCTGGGTTGTCAAATCTAACCAGCGTATTCATGTGAATGCCTTAAAAATTTCAGTATTGTATGATCCGGTTCATCCTTGGAACATGCATATGAATCACTATCACCTTGACTGCTGTACACAACTTTCACAGAGGAAACCTGCAGAGGAATAGATGGCCTAAGAAATTGTTCCAGAACAGCAGGACGCAGCATTTCTGTCGGTAGACGACTCAATTCAACATACTTTGGGTTACTGAAACAAAGATATTTTATGCTGACAACGAAAAAGACACATACAACGGACGTCTACTTACGTTGGTGTCGGCCTCGTCGCATTGGGCCCACTACCGAAGTTTGGACCTAGCAAAGGCGCTCTAGGTATCGGTGGTTGCGGTTGCCTCATTGGCTGGGGTGGCGGAAGTGGCGGACGGCCACCCGCTCGCCCTACTGGCGGTATAGCCGGCTTCTGAATCAATGGTCTCTAAAAGTGGTAGAAATGTACTGTAAGTATTTCGAGCCTACTGAAGAAACATTGCAGTTTCTGTCAAAATTTTAGATAAACCTACGTCATCACTGTACGTTGAAGGAGGCTTGCTTATCAGAGGTTTACGGATCGGTGGACCGCTGTTAGGACCAGGCCTGAAATACTCAGCTGATCAGAGCATAAGTTGACTCCCTGATGCGTTTAATGGCCCTATGACCTTCTCATGAAGGCACTTTCTTTAGTGGCTTTCTAGGTAAACCTACTTCTGCATGTTCGACTGCCACGACGATGCGCCATAAGACTGTCCATTGTCTTCCCTCCACGATCCTGGAAGGCGAACAGAATCTGACTGTTGTCTACCAGGAGGACCACCACCATTGACAGGAGGTCCATCTTGACGATTGATAGGAGGGAATAATGCACGCGGACCTCCAGGAAGCGCTCTGAAAACTCATTCACGAAATCACATGCTTTGCAAACTCTGATGAATATCACGTCTCATGCCCTTTCTTTCGATTAGAGAAGACAAATGCAGGGAGGCCATAAATTTCGCTAACAAGGGCGG